GGCGAGTATGGATCCCAGGCACCGATCCGATACCACGTCATTTTTACATTAGTAATCTAGTCTGGTAGCTCCGTTACTCTGGTACAGTTCTTCTTCGCCGCTCTTAAACAGTGGCTGTGCTGCAACTGGCAGCTGCTGTCCTCTTAGAGGGAGAGGAGGAATTGATACGTGACACAGACACAAAGACACACGTTGTCAAGCAGTTGACGCGGCTTGGAGCTTAAGCTTAAGTGCACTATCATGTCGTGGCTGTGGCATTTTCACACTGCAATCTCACCAGTAAACCTCGAACAGTACGTGTGCAAAGATCAAATCTCAAGGTTGGCACGATGCTTGCTCATTTAACACAAGCAATTTAGGAACACCTGAAAGACGCGTCACCCCTAAAGAGCAGCAAATTTTTAAAACAAAAGGGAAAAAGAAGGACGAGCCGCAGCAGCAAACCTCTGGAAGCTTTTATTATAAGTTTTTTATACTGTTATTTAAAAAATAATGGCTTGAATTTGCTGTTTTATTCCATTTTTACCAAGGGGTTTAAACCTGAGCCGGCGTTACCCACAATGATAAACATATCACAGTATGCAAGGGCGTAAGTATGATTTTTTCTATATAAACATACCCCTTGGTATCAGATCAGTCTCGGTATCAGATGCCGATACCCCACAAGCACAAGTATGGAATCGGCTTAATCGGGAGGGAAAAAATGGTATCAGAAACATCCTTCTATTGACACATTGATTCCATTCATTGTTAGACCTCAGGGATACACACCGTGGTTGGTTTGGTGAGTAACACTTGGAATGTTAAACATAGCTTTTGGTTTGTTTAGAGGAAAAACTCCACCAGCAAAGTTGTCTTTGTTAAACTTGTTATATTACACATCAAGCAGAAATGGAGCAACTTATATCTCATTTGGGATATTTTCTGAAAACCTGTTTAATGCACGAATCCATAATTCACTCTCCCCTTTTAGGAGACTCCAACTCCTGGAGAAAGCTTTTTAAACGCTAATGTTCCACTTTATTCACCAGCGTAGTGGGGCTAACGCTTGATCTGTCTGCTGATTGAGTGCTGGGCAAGTGTGTTACAGTGGGTTTAATCAGATCTTAATTTGTTGAAAACCAGGGTGCCTGCTGCTTGGCAAGCAAAGTGCCAGACTGAACCATACAGAGGTGGCAGAGTTGGATAACAACACTACCGAGGGTCCCCTTTCTTATAAACAAGTTAATTTGAATCTAAAATAAAAGGATAATAACTATATCAAAACTCCACCTGTTTCTACATGTCGCACTAGGAACCAAAACGATGGGCACTACTTGGCGCCAACTACACTTCCAACTGACAAAACGTCATTTACCCCACAACTTCAAACTGGACTTAAAGAACAAAATAAAACTCACAAAACCATCTCTGTAGTCTTCTCCACCCATCATAATGCGATGGTTTCTGGCTCAGAAATAAAACCTTAATGCACAAAGTTATGATGGAAAAATAGGCAGGAAAGGGCCTGCTGTGGGGCCTGCAATCGACACATTAGCCTACTCCCTTGGGGACAAATGCACGCGTCCACATACGTCCACTAACAGTGTTCTTGCCACGAACAGGCTCAAGATTGGTTGTGTCTGACACAGTTATGGAAAGGATCCCTAACAGAAGATAGAACCCTTTTGTTATACAGAAACAATAACCAATGTACATATCCGCTATCGTTTGCCCACCAACACCCATTAATAAAAGTGAGTTAACTTATAACTTCCCATGTAATTTAACTGACCGGCAGATTAGAAAACAGCAGCTTTCAGTCACCCTCCCTCAGTTGGAATGGGAAGGATCAAGATTGCATCCGTGCGCCAGACCGGAATTTGTAAACAAAGCACAAAGAGGCTGCAACACAGGCAAAAGCAGTGTTTGACATCATCGTCTCTTCTCCAAGGACACGTTATCGATTAACATCATCCCCCATAGAACTTTTACATCAGCTAATAGTTAGTTTTGCTGGGGGGGGGGGGCCCCCCCCCCCCCCTTCTATTTGTTCCTAAATCTTAATGTAGCATATAACTTTAATACACAAAAAACATTGCTTCATGCAGCTTCAAAAAGAGTCAATCATTGTTTCTTCCCCTAACTACATATTGCTCTCCCAGGCAATTCCAAATTTCACTTTTATCTTCAAAAGTGGAAAATAAATTTATGAATCCCCATAGAATTGCACTGGAAGCTGGTTAATTTCCTGTTGGTCCACCTAATAAGGTCGATAAAAAACGGGTTTACTTTAATACTTCTAAAAAGCACCTGCCTGCTTTCCCATTTTAGGTTTCATAATTCCTGGCTAGTTTACACGTATCATAACTTTATCAAAGTCAACACTAAGATGGCAGTGGACAGGCAACCCATCCTATTTCTGGAAATTAAAATGTTTACTTCATATACACCGACATAGCACACACACACTGTTCATGTTGCTTTTAATCCGCAGTAGTAAGGGGAGAGCTCTCAGTATAACAGTCAACAGAGAAAGGAATTTAGATTGACTTACATGAAGTATGAATGTGTTTGAGCCCGAATCATATTATCAGCAAGCTTTAAAATACTCAAGTAACTATAATTTATATTTGCATCTGTCGGACAATGACACTGATGGTATTCTGTGATAAGCTGCAATTGCTGATAATATGATTCGGTCTCAAACACAATGTCATATTCAGTAAGTCAATCTAAATTCCTTTCTCTGTTGACTGTAACTGGAGAGCTCTCCCCTTACTACTGGCGATTAAAAGCAAACTTATAACAGTGTGTGTTTTATGTATGTCGGTGTTATATGAATTCTGCGGAGCTCCAACAGTTTATGTGCAGTTGCTTGCAGTGTGTGACCGCTCTGGTGTATGTGTGTGTGTGTGTGTTTGCATTTGTATTCCAGGAGAGTGAGAGGAGTCGTTCCTGAACACGGCAGAATCCTCACAGCCCAGTAAGTCAGCACCACTGTACATCGACCTGTCAGCACACAGAGCGATGAGGCGGAAGATGAGGGCTTGATGGGAAGGCGAGTGGCAGAGGGAAGCGAGGAGAAGCAGGTTGGCGGGGTGGAGGGAGTTAACAGGGAGAAGGGGTGAGTAGAGGCGCGGGGGTACCGGGGTGAGTAAAGGAGGGTTGCGCAGATACCAATAAGTGTGGTGATAGTAGTAGGTAGATATTTGTGTGTGTTTTGTGTAATTGGCGGCACTTGTTTGGTTCATTTAATTGAAACAAACTTTAAAAAAAAACTTTTAAAAAAACAGGGTTTTTGCAGCGTGCGCGGCAAAACAAATTTTTCCAGTTAAATTTGCCATATATTTTCCATTTCCTTGCCAAAATGTTTAAGAACTAGTTTTGTAATCCGCCCCAAATTTATTTTTAATTTTGTAAATTCCTTCCAATTCTTTTAAAAACAGGCTTCTTCTTGTTTTGGCCCATTTTTAACTTGCAAAACCCTCTACAAAGTTTCAAATTTGTAAAATTCGCGCTTTTGGCTAGGTTTTCGGCTTAAATTTCCTTTTAATTGAAACAGGAAAACAAAGCAAAAACAAAAAAACACCAGCAACCAAAAAACCTAAACTTTTT